ATGTGATAGAAGTGTATATTGAAAGCAATTTTGCAATGCAGTAGGAGTGTAGATATTTCTCATGTATTTGGGACTGTATATTTACATATGCACCATTTCACATGACAGAAATATATCTCCAGCTCTGTGGTGCTGTCAGAGTCCTACTATATATGCATGTGAATCTATATATGTTATCAGAATCATGTTGAAGTAAATGATTAGGAAAGAAAAAGATATGATGCCTGGATATTAAGCTGTAACCTGAATACTGAGTTGTAAGTTACATAAATTACTTTAGGGAATCTGCAGAAGCAGAAAAATCGAGCAAGAAGCCCACAAATGGAGGAAAGTCTTAGCTATCACGGAAGTTCCAACAAGTAGAGGGAAATATCTGCATCTCTATTAAATTTCTGTAGCTCCACGAAAGGGCAATGAAAAGTTAGGCAGTATAATAAAGGCAATAATAAATAGTTATCAAAGCCTAAGTGCAAGTTTCCCCTCCAAACACAGAAATTCTATGCCCCTTAATGCCAGGTGACTGCTAACAGTGATGTGCTGTATGCTATATGGCCTAAATCCTTGCTAACAGAGATTTCCTTACATGGGAATATAAACGTAGTAGAAAATATGGAAGCCAGGTCATCTGGGGTAGCAATAAGCGGGTTGATCAAGARAGTGTTGGAAAGCAAAAGCTGGTCAGGTGATAAAGATGGTTCCGTAGACTAAGATGGACTTTAGAYTGCTTTACCAGCTTCTTTAAATATTCTCAATAATCTTATTTTGCATTACCACATAAATTATCTGTTATGTTGAACATATGATAAAATATTTTTTAAAAATTGAGAAAGCCACTCATATTTATATCTTGAGCTTTGATAAAATTGAAGTAAACTCATTTATCTTAAAATATTGTATGAAAATTATCAGAGTAGYGTAAATGATTGGTCAAAAGTTCAGTAGGAAGTTATCACAATTAATATTCAACTGATATTTTCCTTGTCTTAGATCTATGTTCTTGTTAGTGCAATATATTGTGTACAGAGTAATGATTCACTTTTTTTCCTGAAAAAGTAGGTATGGAAACCCTTGGAAGATATGAACTATTTATTCAGAAACATCTGGCTCATTTTAAGAAAAAAGGGATATTCCCAAATACCTTGCAGTGGTCTGAAGATTTCAGCCCGAACTTGTATCAGATATGGAAGCTTGTTAAGCCTTCAAGGACACAAATACAAAACTGCATTCCAATACAGCACGTCCTTGCACGTCCTAAATSACTGGTGCTGAACTGCTGATAAAATAGTTTAACTGTTGTTATTGCTGCAGGACTAACAGAGAGGAAGACATCAGCTGCATTTTGTTCTTCTCCCTGTGTTACCAGACAATTAACTGGAAGACCATTTGTCACATGAAATACTTTGATCAACAGCCCATAAATCCCCAGTTAGGCAAAATTTCTTGAATGCTCTCTGCAAACGTGTTTAATCCATGACTGCTGCTTGTGCTGACGTTAATGCAGATGCTCTTGCTTATGTTGCACTGTCTTTTTCATTTGCTTAATGCAGGATGAGTGACATTTCTTTAGATAGTAAACATTTCTGTTATTAAATACATGGTCTATGGTAAATTGTCATTCCTACATSTGATTAAGGATTTTAATGCCAAGCTGAATGTTCAAGAGTAAAAGCACTATACACAGATGTTAAAAAAAAATCAAAAATCAAAAAGCAACCTCAGTTTGTGAAATCTTAAACTTTTCCACTCTGCCTGGATATGTTGCAGTAATGATAACTGCTAAATGACTGGATGAACCCCTCTTGCTCAGTGGTTCAGAGAACGTTTGTGGGTCCGGTGGCAGCAGCTTGAATGTGAAACTTCAAAAGAAAGTAGAACAGTCCCAAAAGCTACATTCAGGGTCCAGCTACAGAGAGAGCCAAATCCTGGCAGTCATGCTAGTAGTAACTACTGTAATATTTCAGGTAGAAGAGTATATGCCTCTAAGGGATTATATACTCAATTAATTAGAATTAGGATCAGAAATAGATTCTCAAATAATTTCTGCCCATCCCCTCCAGATAATTTCAGAGATGTCAGTAATATAAATGGATAACAGTCGCAGCGCTGTCTAGCACTAATTATAGCACTTACCCATACTGTGATTGTAAAGATTGCCTTCTGCAATGGTAATAGCTAGCATTTGAATAGTGCCTTTCATCTCCAAAAATCCCCAAATGCTCTACACATTAGAAATCTGATCTTCCTGGGCATATGTAAATCCTTGATGAAGGAGGTTTCACATGGAATGACTGTGGCTTTTTTATCATCTATATGCTTAACCATCCTTAGATTTTTTACSTAGAAGGACACATCAATTTGCAGAGGTTAAATGACTTTGCAAAGCACAAAAGTCGTTGGCAATTTTGAGACCAAAACACAGGTGTATAGACCCCTTCTCCAAAATCCTGATTGATTAATTTTTGACAAAAGATGTTCTACTAAAAACAAAAGAAAATATTCTACTTTTTAATGCTATTTTTTCTTTTTATTTTGCATTTATTCGTAAATGTTTTCTTCCTTCAAACAATTGATTCTATATAGGTGTATAAAACCTCTTGTAGCAGAGATATAGCTTACTGTACATATACTTTTTACCAGTATTAATTGTACCATTACTACTCATGAACAATTCCCATCAAGCATTTACACCTGAAATTTGGTAAACGAGAATTTCTTTTCATCATAGAAATGTGGTGAATCTAATGACCAGCACAGGGAAAAAGCATAAAGAAGCTGTGGTCGCTAGCCTGAAATGAGTGAAGAAAGAGGGTCTCTTGTGCTGAGAGTGGTTCCTGGCAGAGACCTGGGGCCAGGGCACCGGGGCTCAGCCCCGTGCCCTTCTGCAGAGGGGCAGGGGCCTCTGCCAGTCCCGATGTGCAGCACAGAGCTCAACTCAGCCTCGCTCGCACACGCAGGGGTCTGCGGGAATGTTCCCCTCGCTGCACAGCTGCTCTTCCTTACAGGGCCATTCACCTTCTTACAGCAATGAAAAYGTGGCCTGACTTAGCTTTTGTTAATGTGTACCTTGCACATTTTGTTMATGTGCAAGATGTTAATATGCAAAAATGTCCATTTGTTTCAGTTTTAGATTAGTTCTTATTCTTTACAGATATTTTGGCAGATAGGTAATAATTCTGAAATTCTGTTGATTTTTTTTTTTTTACTGAATCTTAAAGGGAAAGACAGAAATCTAAATGTTTCCAAATTATTTTTTGATCAGAGCACTAGCGCAGCTTTAGCACACTTGGAGGTACCCTTCTGAGATCAATTTACCTTGATGCACCTGCTTAAATTGAAACACTTACTTAAATTAAACACCTGGTTAAGTGAGTTGCTGAAAGTGAGGTTTGTACTGCCTTTCCTGGGAGCAGCTTTCTGTCCCTTTCAGCAGTAAGCATCAATAAAGAGATGTGATTACATTATAAAGTATCTAACAGATACTGTTTATTGCTGACTTTTTAGGTCATCACTGCTGGGAATAGCAAATAGTTTTTTACTTTGCAAGGTGAGATTAATTTCTAAATAAATGAGGCTGCAAAATACCCTACACAGCACCTATGGGCTGTTCTGTTCTTACAGCTGGAAAGGAAAAAGGTAATGGTGGTTTTTTTTTTTTTTTAAAAGCTTACGATTTAAAATATGTTGTAGTATCTTTTATTTATTTCTTCCCATAAAAATGTGGAAGAATCCCAGCTAGAAAGATTATAGAAGAGATATGCAGTGATTTTATCTTGTAGCTCCACTTTAAAGCAAAACATTTAATTCTTTTTCTGTCTATAGTCTTAGATTGTGCCAGCATAGATGTGAGTTATACAAATAGAGGAAGGCTGAACGGCCCATTAGGGAGCAAGCTGCTACTTGTCACTGAATGCTTTCGCTCTTAGGAGCTCTGTAAAGAGAAAATCAGAGTAAAGATTCTCAGATCTATTTTCAATAGCAAGGAAACAGGTAGAGCTTTATTAACAAAATCTATTGTGAGCCTGAGTAAAGTGAGCTAACCTCCTGTGGTCAGACTGATGGGTGCTTCAAGTGGCTCTGGCTTGCTAGACACTCCATGCTGTTCAGGGATAACTGTACAACAAGTTCTGTGCTGTATTGGTTTGCTCTGGCTGTTCCTAAGTGTTGCCTCTGCACTGAGGCCACCTAGTAGTAAGAGGTTTGTAGAGCTTGTAAAAGATGTTGCCAGTGGTCAGGTTGGTGATCTGGGATATATTGACAGCATTCAAGTCCTTGCTCCTCTGCAGAGTGTCTGTGCAGGTAGGGCTGCTGTACTGCAGTTCCCCTTCCAACAAGAAGTTAGGCCAGCCCGTGTTTCTAGGCTCTTACCAGAATAAATCCGTAAACACAAAGTTTCTGCCCCAAAACTGGGGAGAAGGAAACCTGATGGAGATAACGAACAGACTGAGAGGAAAACCTTTGTTTCACTGTTGTGACCAGCAGCAGTATCTTTCAGTGTGTGTGTAATGCCCATAGCAAGTGCTTGGAGAAAATAAATGCCTCAACAGAGTGTTTACCTGTGAAGCCCAACATAGGATTGTTAAATTTTCCAGTCGCGTTATTGTTGCTTTCCTTGCCAAAATCATCCTTACTCGCTCTCTGTCTCTTATCTGATACTTAGCTTTTAAATTTTCTTGGGTAAGGATTTTTTTCCACATCTGAGGTTAGGATCATTTTCAGTTAGCATTTATGTGGTATCTACTCATACCTCTTTCTTTATAATCTAAAAGAGGAAAGTTCTTTTCTTACTACAGGACTCTAGGGGGAATCAGGATCACACAGAATGGAGCCTACTATTAAGAAGGTTGGAAATGAATGAGAAAAAGTGAATGCAAAGATGAGTTTCAAAGCTCTTACTGATTTGTGGTTTTTGCATTTACAATAATGGTTGCGCTACTAGTGCATTAATAGYGCTGGTATAGGTAATCTAATTATTGTTCTATCTTTTCTGTTTCTGCAGTGCTCTGACTGGAGGTTCTTTTGCTTTCAAGATTCTTGGACWGGGGAGAGGCTGACGAGAAATTACTTTGAGGTAAGAGTATGAATTAAGGTCTGAGAATGTTTTGTTCAGCTCTGAGGTACCAACCTGGATACTGTGATTCATGTTACAGTACATACCACGTAGACTTGAGATGCTGCTATGATGCTGCATTAACATCCTGTGACCCTGAAGTAAAGCAAGACAGAGATGTCGCCCCGTGCAGTTCTCCTAAGAGTTCTCCTAAGAGAACTCCTAAGTTCTCCTAACAGAACTTAGTGTGTCATTGTAGGACTGCAAAATGGCTATTTCCCCAGTGGCTTTCAAAAACAAAACAAACAAAAAAAGTAATAATATCATATAACCTATGTTATAGCGAAATCTCCTTCCTTTCACATATTGGGAAGTTTCAGAAAGTAAGGCTGATAATGCAGTGTACCTGACTGAGCAATCAGACCTGAGTAATGACATTGACATGCACTTCCTTTCTTCATCCCTGAGAATTGTTAACTCTGCCTAACAATGGCCATTGCTGTGTGATCATTAATTTTTTGAATTTCGTCAACCCTGCTTCTCTTTTTATAGCTGAGTTTACAAAAAGMGGCCCAAAATGTCAGAAGAAAGTCATGTCAATAGAAAGGTATTTTAGGATTTGGTTCCTGGGAGATCTCTGATGATAATTGTTTTGAGGGTGGGTTCAAACTGGTGGAGATTTGGTTGGATCATTGCATTCTGCCAGCTTCAAATACTGCGTGACAGTTTGCTATAACATCTGTTGTTTTTGTATCTTGCCTTAAAAGTTTTTAGTCCTGAATGTAGCTGTTGGCAATGTATCACCTGCAAGACACAGACATTTATCAACATTGTGTTTGTAATGTAATTGATTGAATTTTTATTTTCTTGTACAAATACCATTTGAATGCTTGTGCCACAATTGCCTCTTTCACAGTAGAAAGTCAACAGCTTCATTTTTGGCTATAGGTGCTTAGAAAAGACCTGAAAACTCCTATGCAGTGTAAAGTCCTGATATTCACATGCTGTGCTACTCGTTCATTTTAGTGGCAAAAAGTCTAATCTCATAATACATGGAATAAAATTTTCCTTTTAATGTATTAAGGACAATGATTGACCAAAATATCAGGTTTAAATGGGCATCTTCTGCTTAAGGCTGGAGCACGAATAATATATTCTATCACCATAGGAGAGGGCGATAGACCCATCCCAGCCGGGACAAGCCTGCAGTTTTTCCAGCTCCCCTTGGTCCCRCAGGATCTTGGAGCGTGGGCGGGAGCTGCTGCTCCAAAACCTGCGGTTCCAGCAGTGACCAGCGGCCTCCTCTTGGCCACCATTTTTCCTGGATACTGAGCCAAGCACTTCTGAGTCCGCAGCTCATGAGCTCAGAAGGATGGAAAAAGCAGCCAGAAGCAGCCTGTCACAACAAGAATAATTGCTCAAAGTCAAGTCTGCTGCCAGAAGGCCATCCCAAGAAGAATGGCTTTCGAGAGCAGGTAGAGGGCCAGACAAGTAGGCCATGCTGACCCTATAGCCTCTTATAGGCTGAGCATACCCAGTGCTAGAGTAAGTGCTCATTTTATTGGCAGTCACATTTAGGACTTATTCCTAAAGCATATTTTTAAGTCTTCCCTCCAATTCGTATTTAAAAGTCTTTCAAGACAGTTTAAAAAATATATATATTTCTCCCTTGAGAAGTTTTGTTATTTCCACATTTGTTTTCATCAGAAAATCAAGCTAAATTGAAATACCAGAACCTCTTGTGATTATCTTTGCATGCATGCTAAGATATCTAAACTAATCGCCTTCCCCCAAAATTTTAGTTTTCTTTTCCTAATAGAAAGGTGGCTGCTTCGCAAATTTTATTGAAAATACAATATTACTAAGTCTATATTTACTGTGAAATCATTGTTTTGATGGAAAACTCCTGTGCATTGCTTGCTTCTGTCACATACATCAATCCTGACCTGAGGAAATCATTATTTATATATGATCAGATCACCTTACTGTTCTGGWTATAAGTCTGTATACGTGTCTGCTTAGTGTGTTATGTGCTGATTCAAGGATACTGAAGTGGGCTGCAGATGTATTTGAAAATGAGATAGATGTCAATAAGAGACCATGCAGGAAGGCAAATTAAGTAACAAAACCAAGTTAAAAATGACTTAAGTCCCAGTGTCGAACAGATGTGGTAATACAAAACAAATTGGTCTCTGTATTTCTTTACTTCATTACTGCAAATGACTGTCAGGTTAGGGCTTTGTTTGACAATTTGCCAGTTATCCTGACCTTATTTTCATAGCTTTATAAAAGTAAAAAAGCTGGTACTTATCCCTTGCTAGAAGCTATSTAATACTAATTTAAGACTTGTAAACTAACAGTAGTTCCACCAAGTAAATAGCTGCTTGATGTTAAACAGCTGTGAAGTGTGTGAAGGTGCTTTGCAACCTAGGATAGTGGCCTGTTTTTTAATACTCTTTTAATAATGAAAGCATTTTCAAGTCATTATTATGACAAGAAGTCATGAGCTTTATGTAAAAGTTGATGATCATTGTTCTTAACTTAAAAATGACAATATACACATACATGCACACACACCAAACATGTGAACTACTCTAGGTTGGGAGAGTGCCTATGTTTCCTAGATAAAAAATGGCAGTTTTCAGCAAATTATTTAAAAATTTCTTCTAAATGAATGAGCTGGGTGTGATAATCCAAATGGGAAATGCTACTTGGTAGTGAGAATAAAGTGGTCGGTATGGTGAGGGGTAGACCAAGCTGCCTCACAGTGACTAAGCATAGATAATGGGAGCTTATAAACATGGAAATAGAAATTTGTGATGGGCCTCATGGCTTACACGTGAACAGAGGAGCACAGGAGTGATTCTCTTCCCTTATTCAATAAAACATGTGCATTTGCCTGTTGGAGGCCAGGCACCTGTGTTTGCTGACTCGTCTGCCCCACTGCTCTATATAGGTCAGGTTACCTAAACAGTGCCTGACTGCAGGACTGTCAGATTTCTTGTGACCAGAGAACATATTTAGCCAAATTTCATAAAACAGCCTTTATTGCCAAACATGTCACTTTGGTATTCTGTGCACTGTCTTCTCTGACTCCCAGGAACAATATTCTTTGAAATCAGTGGCTTTTAAAAAATATTTACCTTATATTTGAAGACATGATTCATAGGCTGGAAGATGAAGATCTAAGGTAGTTGCCAGAAAGAGAAGGGAATGAAAGAGGTTTATCCATCATTGTCAATGATACGCTATTAGCAGTGTCCCTGGTGGATTGTGAGAGTCTGTTTGGGATGGAGAAGTTGAGTGAAGCTGCAAATTATTCACAGTGTTGCTAAAAGCATGACCAAGAAAGCCAATCTGACAGCCAAGCTTCTGTCTCCAGGCATTTTTTTCTGAACAGATGATGGCCTGAGCAGCCAGCTGGACTAATCTAGATCCAGATTTTCAAAATTCAGGAGTTGTGAATGTGAAGATTAGTTATGGCATATTATTGCAATAGGTTTATTGGTAAGATGACACTGGAGGTGGATCAGGGACTGCCTCCACCTTTTCAAAAAAGAATTGTTGGAAAAAATCACATGGGAATAATGACAGTGACTTCTTCATCACCACGGGTGCCAGAGACTGCCTCACATTTTGGTGAGGGAAGGCTCTCTGCCAGTGGCAGCAGTCTGGTAAAATTCTCTTCCCTGTCTGTGAAGTGGGATAGCTGGTTTGTGGTGCTTAATTTCTGTGTTTCTTTCATGGATTTTGAACATTGCATTTCACAAAACTGTGGACAATCTCTTCTGCTACTGTTAGAGTTCAAGTTTTCAGAGAAGAAGAGGGAAATAAAGTACAAAATGCATTTCTGATACTGATCTACCCTGGTGCTTGACAGTAGAAGGATTCAGCTTAGTTTTCTCTCTCAGAAAAAAACTTCTCTCTCAGAAAAAAACTTTTCCATTCACCATATCAGTCAGATTGTTGTCTTTAGCTATAATAAGCTGTGTTCAGGATTGGCTACATTTCTGGTGCTTCACTCTGATGCAAAGGATCAGAAAGGTGGCATTTTTCATACACATTTACAAACACATGTTATGTTACAGGGTGTTAGTGAAAATTGCTTTCTAATCTTCCTATACTTTCTTAGGAATGAGCTTTATTTAGGCTGCATTAAATCTAAATTGTATGTGCCCTTTTCCTTCTATCATTTTAGCCATCTGGTTTTACTTAATCTTCACCCAATTCTTTGGAAGAGTAAGCACCACATCTTGTTTCTTTCCTTCCCTGTGAGGGGAAAAAAGGCTGACAGCCCTATCTCTAAAGATGAATGAAGACTCATAATAGTAATAAATAAAGTAGAAGCAGCCACTACTCATATTATCATGCCGTTATCTCCTTTTCATTCACTAGTATGGAATTGCAGAGAGCCCTCTATATAATTRGAGACTAGAATCATCACCGTTTTTTGCATCAGAGAACCTACATTTTAAACATATGTCCATGCACACAGAAGGAGGATCGTAAAGACACAGGCTGTGCCTAGGACAAGCCTCGCCTGTCCWCCTTTCTCGGACTTTCAGGTAGACTAGAAGTCAGTGAGCAGTATCATGGACTCATGACAACCATATATTGTTCAGACCAACGATGGACCGTGACCTGGCAACTCATTATGTCTCCTCTGCAGATGAGCAAATGGAGGAATCCAGTTGAGATTAGCAGAGAAAATTGTTTAATACCTCTGAGCATTGAGTTTTCCTAATCTTTCAGCTGGAGGTTTTTCATGTTGGATGAGCAAGAATTAGAGGGCACTTGTGAAAATTGGATATGAAAAACTTATGCAAAGCTACTAAGAAGTACTTGCCCTAAGATTTTTTATATATTTTTTCACTATCTGCTCATCCTTGCTCCCTAAATAGGAGGGCTATTAAAACACATTTTGGGGGCAGACTGTAAAAAAAATTTAAAATCACCATTGTTTTGTTAATAGTAAGTGTCACCAAGTTCTCTCACATAGCAGCAAACATTAGTTATTGAACATGGAGAATGTCAAAGGGATTTTCATTGTGATTAATGGTGTGACAGTGAATAGCAAAAGAAGTGTTAATAGTTTGCTGCTTGTTATCAGGGATTGCTGTTTTCTTTGTACAAAATAGCAATTTGTCAGGCACTTCTGGGCAGCACTTAACAGCAAAGCTCCAGCAAATATGTTCACATAGCAAGTAAGCTCTAGGAGTAATGGGCTTTCCTCTTGGGACARATTGCAGCTTCTTCTGCCCAGTTGGGTGGAATGTAGGGAAATAATTTTTTTTTTTTTTTTTTGAGTCTGATCAATGAATATATTGTGTTCTGCTTCAAGGTCAGATTTGGGAGTCATATTTATCATCACAGCTGATTTTGAAAGATCCACCAAGCAAATTTTAACTAAGGTTGGAAGTGCAAGAGCTCATATGCCTCTGCCAAATAACGTTTCTGTCCTTGGGWGAGGCTGAATACAGAGAAAAGAGACGTTTTGCGCTTCAATTTGGGATAAGAAACTTAAGGCCTTATTTTTCCTTTCAGCTGTCTGTGTTGTCAAAAAATTTTACAATAGACTGTCTACTTTTTTTTTTCTTTTAAAGTAAATATTACTGTCTTTATTTTTGTTGGTTATAGCCTCATTTTGGAAGATGCTATAAATTATTTGGAGTTAATGTGAAATGAAGTTTCTCAGACCTGGACGTGTATTGTCTAACTGTAGGTTCTGAAGTGCGGACAAAATTTGTGCCCTGACTTTCATCTGTTAACAATGATATTTTTTTCACCAAGAATTTGGAATCTGGATCCTATCTATAAGGATGTGATATTGTCCATCCTGTTTATGTAATAGTGCTGATAAACTCTGTCAAAACTCAGTCATATAAGTTAGCAAATCATAAAGTGCTGTGCTGTGGTAAATGGCAATTGTAAAATTGCTTTCTTTTTTTAATTGGAATTCTACTGCTCTGGAACAGAATGTCCATTAAGTAGGAAAATGGGGAGGGCTGCTTTTCCTCCCATAACTCTTACAGCACGAGGCAGACATCAACCAAGTCCAGTACAGAGGCTTGGCTCATAAACTGAACTTTATTTGCTGGCAAGAATTGCATGGTGCCTTCTACTCCCTTGATGATATATATGTCATAAGCATCATTCTGTTTCTTAGAACCAATATAATGTGCAATAGGACTTATGTAGTGCTCCAAGGAGCAGGTGATGTGGTCCAAAAGCACAGTGCTTCTAGACCRATGGCAAAATAGAATGGGGAAAGGGGTATTTAGCACATAGGAAAAAGGAATACAGAGATGGTGAACCATCCAAACCCAATGCTCGTGTTAGTTGCACTGAACTTTTTAACTAGAGAGGTCAGTACAGAAATCCTATGCTGGAGCTCAGCTATTTCCGGTCTGTGTACAGAACTTGRTGAACAAAACAGGAGCTTAGATGAAGCTGCAGAATGGAGGCACCACAAATTAATTCAAACTGATGAAGTCTGAAATGCATTTGGGGTTGAATGAAGTGAGTTGTTGAAAATTTGCTAGCAACTCTTTTCTCATTTGCCCTTCAGCATGAAATGTTCTCTAATAACCCATCGTAAGGTGCACACATGAATTCTGAGTTCTTTTCACTGATATTTCAGTCTTATTTTACAGGCAAGAGGGTTGCCTACCTGAAAATGGTGACAAAAGGTGTTTTAAGTCAATACTATAGCTACCTAGTAATGACAAGAGATGGAAACTATGGAAAATAAGGAGTTTCGCTCAGTAGGTGCTTAGCCTTTAACRTCTTCTCTAGTCTTGGAGTGTCTGTGCAGGCAACAAGAGAATACTCCTGGCCAGCCACCTACCATCCATTGGAAATGAAACACAACCTTAAGCATAAGCACGTACAGAGTAAATGAGACTCAACTTTGTGAGTCTCATTTTAGACTTTGTTATGACTTTGTCATAACAAAGGAGAAAGATTTTCAATGTTGAATTTAAGATTAAAGTAAGAGTTGGGGAGGTGGTTTAGAGCACTATGAAAAATCCTCTCTTTCYAATGCCAGCTAAAGCATCCCAATATAAATTAGTTGTTCCAAAGTGCTTACTACCGTAATTAACTCTGCTATGCTCTAGGGTCAGGAATAGCTCTTTTATAACTGCTGCAAATCAAACTGCTTTGCTATTGAAGTAGTCACTTACCAAGAGACCRTGACACCTCATCCTTCAGATGGCTGCTGTTTGAAAACATCCCTTGTTATTTGTCCCTGTGAGCATGTTGCACTGAGTGGACATCCGCTCCAAAACCGTTCTGAGGGAAATGGGAGTTGAATCAGCAGTGCTCTCAGCAATGCGTGACCTTTATTATCGCTCTCCCAGGAGCACAGAAATTTGCGTGGCTTAGCAAGTTGCAGGCTGCAGTGACAGCGCTTGGGCTGGGCAGCCCTGGCAGTGAGAGAGATGCCGCGAGTGTTGCAGATGCAGCCTCCTTCAGCACTCACCTGCCAGATGCTGCAGAGCTGCTCACATGCAGCTGACAGCCCCCAGCTCCTTGGGTATTCGCTGTAAGACACTGTTATGCAAGCTAAGGCCCTTGGTTTTTAATATGGATGTAATGGGTAACATCAAGAAATCCAAGTGATCCAGATATTTTCAGTAYTTTCTATTATCTCTACTGTGCTTTAAATGTAAGAGGCAGGATGGACTGTTCTATTTCAGGAGCTCCATATAGGCTTCCACAGCTTCTTATAGGTTATATATAGTTTTTGAAAATTCTTCTGAGGCACTCAAGTGCAGATAATTCCTGTTTTGCTGCTATCAAACCATTTCTCGTACAAGTAGCTGCACTGAATTAAAGGAATACTCGCTTGAATAAGAACATATAATACTAAACTTACATGTCTTATTCAAAGTCAAGCAATAAGTCAGTGAAAGTCTGAAGAAAAAGAACCTAGTTCAGATGGTAGCACAAAAACCAAATGCCACATTGCAGAGAGAGACCGTTAAGATGTAAAGATGTAGCAGTTCCTGCATGAAATCTTTAGACTTTCTAAGGGAAATCCAGACTGAGAGGTTGTTGAAGGAGTTGTTCCAGTTGTAACTTTGCTACCCTCAGTGCATGAGCTTGCACAGGGGCTGCAGTAATCTGACAGGCRCAGGAGCCAATTACACAGGTCTCTCAGAGCCTGGTGGATTAAAGAAGGGGCTGCCTGACTGAAGCAGTGTCATTAAATGCTTCCTCCTAAGAAAGGTAACACGGTACAGTCAAAATTAGCTTTGAAGGAGGTCAAAATGTTGAGAAGTAGGGTGTAGTACCACTGTGTCTCAAAGTGGCAACAGATGACACAAGGACTTAAGATTGACCTTTGAATTTTAATATGACCCAATTTAATGGAGTGGTGAGAGTGGAAAGCAGACTGGTTATTTTACCAGAAAAGTCTCTTTCATAGGTTATTATAAATCTAATAAGTACTAGGACGTAAAGAAAATATGTTTATCTTGAAACTGGTAGTTTTACTCCTTTCCCTCTGATAAAATGCCAAGCAGTATGTTCAGATTCTCATATTGCAAACTCTACAGAAAAAAGGTCAATGAATTAGCAGTTACAGAGCATGCACTGTCCAGTAAAAATAAGCCAGTACCCTCATTAATAGAATGAAATGCTGTTGCACTAATATAAATTGTATCCACAGGCAGAAG